TGACCACCACATGCTGTTTGTACATTTGTTACACGGTGTGTTTACTTTACAATAATTTCACGTCTTTGACATTCTGAAGGTAGAGCAGGTCAAACACAACGTGTCAATATTTGAGCGTCAGTGTTTTGGGTGAGAGAGATGTTTAGTCTGCCCTCACTGCCTGTGAAGGTCTTTTGCTGGCATTTCTCCAAATTCCTTGAAATATTTGACAGGGGATTTACTCTATGTTGTCACTGTGTGGTGGAAAGAGCAGTAGATCTGCCTTCTGAAGAGCAAATGCCCAGTTTCATATTAAAAATGATTACTGACATCAAGGCTGAGTTACTGGGAGAATCACAGCTCCAGGGGTTCGGTTCCTGTAAGTTGGCTTTTGCTGATATGATCTTTTAGGGATTTTTCACCAAAAAAGCCCCAAATGGATCCATTATCAGCTAATTTTGAAGCCCTGTTAGTGTTTAAACATAGTGTTTTAGACCTAGTCATTGTAGCCATAACAAATTTTAGTTTGGAGGGTGGTGTCTTTTTTTAAGCTGCAAATATTAGCATGAAAATCTAATATGCATACTGTACCTACAGCAGTATTACTTCCATTGCCAATATCATATCATCAACTAACCACCTATCCACTGTGTAGTATTTCCCCACTGTGTGACAGTCAGTCCTAGATTCTATCAAATTCAGGCTAGCATTAACAGCATCTTGCTCTCTATGGTCCTTCATTTGCAAGTCATCAACTGAGACATGTAGCCTCAGGGTCAGGGTTAATCTTTTAGCATGATAATGTATGTAGATACCAAGTTAATATTTAAGACCTCTTACAAAATTCTCATTTTAATACGTACCAGCTGGAAGTCAGCAAAGACAGCCTTTTAACCCAACTCATGGAGATAATGCTAGCTTAATTAACTAGCTACAGCTGATACAACTTGGCATTTCAGCTGGCAGTATAGAGTCGCTGGCTGGCCTCTCTTTTCTGTCTCTGTCTGAAATCAAGGACCCATTGTTTCCAATGAATTTCGAGTGGTAAATGTGCCACTTGGATCTCCCAATCTGGAAAGCTTGACATGTGGTGTGTCATGGTGCTGAACACATATTTATGCCGCTCAACCATACTTATAGACTGGGAAGGAAAAAGCTTTTCTCTTAAATGTTCTTTATGTGTCCCATAAAAAGTACTGGTGAAAGTAGCTTCTGTTTGTATTCCCCTAAACTGTGGAACTCACTGCCTGTGGATATTAGAAAGGCGATGAAAATATAAAATCTATCTTTTACTTTGGAGTAATGTTATAGCCTTAGATTTTAGGTTTTAATCTTTGTTTTTTTTGTTATTTGTCTCCCTGGGGCTGCATGTTTTTATGAAAGGTGCTATATAAATAAAGTTGAGTTGAGAAAGGAGCCCACCCTCACAGCTGAGTGACCATGCATGGTTACAGGTTCACTTTAATTCATAAAAACATGATTACGTATACAAACCTTCTTTGTTTGTGCTTTCAGGCAGAACAGTAAAGTTGGCAATGAGGGCCCAAGAGCATGTTTGCCCTGTAGCAGGTTAATCCAGCCATGACTGACATAACAACAGAAGCTGCATGAAATTCTAAATGTACTACAAATAAAAACAGAACAAGATATTTAGGTCCGCTTATATGCCACATAATACCTATTATATGGGAGCACAGGAAGAAGAGAAACATCTCAGAACAAGTGTTTCTGTCAGAAAAAAGGAGCTGAGCTAACTAAATTACTGGGTCTGATTCTCATAACGATACAGCCGCAGTAGCAGGACTGAGTGGTGCCGTAGGCTGACTTGGACCAACTCACTTCTCAAAGTGGATTGATCACCCGTGTCTACAAAATGGAGCACACAGATCGATTTATGCCTTTATTATAAAACAAGCAGGCTAGTTTTTCAACACTGCTATATTCTGCTTCCCTTTAACGTGATCTCATTTCTACAACTCCACATATGGCTGACAAATGAGAGAAATTTGAGTGATGGTTCAATACGAAATCATGGAAAATGGAACCAAATGAGGGAATGTGTTTAGGAAGAATGCTGTTCATCCCTCCAGTAAAGTTTCAGAGACTCTCTGTCCATATTGCCATGAACATGGGAATAGAAAGACCAACAAATTGAGAAAAATGATTAGTTTTATTTAATTTGGTTTGTTTATTCATTTTAATTATCCTCTGAGTGTTTCGAGTTTGTTATATGAGCTGTGGTTTGAAGTGTAATCAGTAAACTGGAGCTGATTTCAAACAGTAATTTGCTTCAGGTCTGAGAAGAATGCCTAAATAGGATCTGGATGGATGTGAGCTTCAGTTAGAGCAGTAGTAGTAAGACGCTTTCTTCTTCATCATCGTTTCAGCACAGTTCTGAGTCTCAAATCTACAAAACATAATAACTCTCAGTCCACATTATAAAAGTACCAAAATAAAGATACTCATAACAATCTGTATGCAAGCTAAAAAAAAACCCAGATTAATGTTCACACAATCCAGTGCACAAAGGAAAATGAGGAGCTGTTTACAACTAATTGTGGATGGTGGTGAAACAGCTCCAGGAACATCTGAGAAAACCAAAAATAACTCTAACAAATACATATCTAATTACTTTTTTAGAAAAAAGTGCTCAAGTTAACTGTAAGTAAGTTACAGTTTGATTTTTTTTGCACAGTTCGCTTATTGCTTAATTTTCGAGGTGGCAAAAGTAGAAGTACTGGTTCAACTTCTTTATTCTTGAAACAGTACAGGCTCTGAAAAGTGCAAAAATATAAAAGTAAAAAGTATTCTCTTGGTTTCTCTGAAGGACATTTCTACGTTCTGCAAAGCTAACTGAAACTTCAAATAGGGTCTTCCTCTCTTGTCTGTTTCGTCGCGTTAGGTTTGTTGGTTCTGATATGCACCGGTCTTGATGTTGGGATATTTATCCTCAAATGTATTAAAACTAAAGTAATGCGCCTGTTTTGAAAGTACAGATATGTACAAATGTGGGGGTAAAAGTAAAAAACAAACACTAAATGCAGCCTGTGTACTCTGCATAATTCCCTGTATAGATCAGTAAGTTCGGTGCATAGTATGCTCTGTATACATAGTATTAAACTTGTATGTGTGGATTTGGGGCACAACCAAAGTCTCATGGTAGTTGTTGATGCTTTGATGATATCGGAGGGTACAGAAACCAGCTGTGAGCACAACTTTAAAGGTGCCTTAAGTGAAATTGGCATTTTTGCTAATATCCTGTCTGTTCTTGCAGTTAGCAGTCCCCTCCGTCTTCCCTACGATTGGATAAGGTGAGGGGGGGCTGTACGGAAGTAACTTATCAGTGATGGCTGCCAGATTGTAGAGCTACTTACTTTAACAAAAAAAAAAAAAAAAATTATAATTTCATTTTAAGCTGATATGCGACTGCAAACAGCTGCTTGTGTACACATCCAGCAGTTATGGAGCAATATTATCTTTCTTTTGGAGTCTTGTTTCTGACAACCTGGCGAAAGTCCAACATTCACTCTCTTTTAACTCGGTTTTTGGTCTCCACCTACTCCTAAAGGAAATATCTGGTTCTTTAGCTGCTAAACGCTCCACTATGTACACCAGCTCGTCTCTAACTGTGTCTGTCAGCTGGTAGTGTTCATTGGGGTTTTTAGAGCTTTTTCACCGAAACAAGCTGCCTGCTGCAGCTGGATATTATATGAAAGCGTTGATAATTATCCAAAACAGTAAAGTTGTGGGCTGGACAGCTAAACAAAGAGGTGAAACTCTCTTTAAAGCTCGGTAAAGTCAAGGGGAGCTGCAGATCCTCTGAAGGTTCATCACTGCCAGCGACCCCTTTCACACTGTCATTTGATAGGCTACATTGTTATAGTAACATTATAGCCACTTTAAAGTAATAAAAGTTAAATTGCTTATTATGCAGAGTGACTCGCAGTGTTAAATTATTGGATTATTATTATTGATGAATGATCATAAACAGGAGTTTAATGTTGTGGTTGTTTAACAGCTTGATATACTGTTGTACTGCTGTAAATGCAGACTGGTGGAATATTTCCCTCTAGAGTGTAGTGGAGTATGAAGTAGCATAAAATGTGAATATTCAAGTACAAATACCTCAAAACTGTACTCAAGTACTGTGAGTAAATCAGTTAGTGGTGTGTCTTCCTGTGAGGTTGCAGTCAGAGCGTTTACACCTCACAACCTCTAATAAGCTTAATAATTTACCACAGAAGTCAGACTCAGATATAAAATATCGATCCTTGTCTGGCAGAGACATTACAGAGATTAGACTTAATATCACAGCCTCCTATCCTCTGTGTGTGTGTCGTTGCGGCTCCAGCATGTGGGCTTCCAGCATCATAAAGTTGAGTCTCTGACCACAGAAAACATTGCTTTTCTGTAAGCCCGGCGGTAAGTTTGATATAGCGTCGGGTTCACAGGTGTCATTTCGCTGCTAAGTACTCCAAAGACCGATGCAATTGCATCTCTGCCCTGCACGTATTTAACAACCCACAGCGAGCAGTGCTGACCGCGCCGAATCTCTTTTTATTGACCATTTAAGCTCCTCGCTTAGGGCAAAAGAAAACCGCTGAAAAAAAAAAATAAACACGATTTTCGGCCAGAAAGCAGCCGTGTGTCTGCAGACTGTGGCCGCTGTTTAGTGCATGATAAAGCAAGCAGAGGCGGCGTGGTGTGTGTGTGTGTGCACCTACGCAAGGAAATGAAGATGAATGTGCAGCGGGCTTTCAGCACCGCGGACAGCTCCCCGCACGGCTCCAGGCTCGGGGACTGGGCGTGATGCGGATGTACCGAACTCTCACAGTGTCAATTAAACAGCCTGCAAACACACAAAGAGTTCACACTGCACTCTTATAATGAACAATCCAGCAAACGCAACCGCCACTCTCTAGGGAGACCATCACAAGACCACTCGAACACCCCTCCTCCTCCCCCTCCTCTTCCTTTCTGTGCTATATTCCCCCCCCCCCACCCTCTCCATCCTCCAAAATACCAGCATCCCTGAGAGTAGACAGAGGGGTGGGAGAGTTAACGAGTTATTCCTCACTCAGACGTGCAGGAGAAGTGGCAGGGTGGTAAAATGTGAGAGGACTTCGGCTTTCTCGGTTCGGATAACGAGCGTGTCCAAAACTCTCCTCCCTTTCCCGGGGCTGATGTGAACGCACAGGCTGCGTTGGCTTCTCGTCAGACGCTCGTCCAAGACCTCGCAGATATTCAGTCGTGACGGATCCGTCCCTCCGCTCCCACTCCTGTTTAAGATTCCGCAGTTGACAAGACAGCGCTCTGCCCGCATCCGTCCCCTCTTCTGACTTTTTTTTTCCCCTCTTGGAGAACGGGAATCTGGCCGTTTTTTCTTTCGGATTCAAGTTTAACCACACGGGGAGTTTACAATGACAGCCACCAAGGAGCAGCCGAATCAGAGACCGAATCAAACGCAGCAGGATGAGGTGGGCAATTGGCTTTTCTCTTGACTTCATTTGCAGGTTTCTGCCACTTTATCCATGCACATTACGCTAGAAACTCTGTAGGATGACCTGCTCTGCAAGGTCAGTTCATCCATCAGCACACAGCTTCATTTGATTTGCTCCAGCCTGCTCCGGCCACATACATTGAGTGAAATGTGTAAAAACGCATTAGTTTGCTCGGCTGTTTGGCTTCTGGCTTCTTCTCCTCATCATCAGCATCAGTTTTCTGTACAGGGTGATGAGACTGAAGCGAGGGGCTGATTCAAGTTGGGCTGCACATGCCAATATTGAAATAATCAAGCCGTCGTCAGCTGTGCGTGGAGCTCATTGTCAGCTGTCAAGACTGGGTCACAGAAATCTTGAACGCCGTGGGCACATGCACTGTCAGTGAAGGGGGGGAAGAGGGGAAGACTGCGCAGGGCGCATTGTAATTCAGCCGTTGCCTCCTGTCAGCTGCCCCTCGACACCTTGAAAGAGAACATTCGTGGAAAATCACTTTATAAAAAGGGGGGGGGGGGGACATTGTGTGCGTGTTCCCTCTCTCCCAAATACACTCACTGTGACTTCACAACCGAGCTCTGTCTCCAATCTTAGCACCTTCAAACACTCCCATAAGGCTGTTGTGGTGAAATGTTTTTTAGGCACCTTTACACAGGTGGCGTTGCGCACTGCAATCCTTTTTTTTTTTAAGGGTTTAAGGGGAATGAAATCAGGGTCTTTGCCAGGACTGGCGTGTGCAACTTGACAGCCATGCAGTCGTGTTTGCGCCAAACCTCTGAGCCTCCATCACCATTAATTATTGATTTCTCTTCTCTAAATGTCCTCAGTGTTCCTCCAGGCACATGTAACCTCTACTCATTCAATGTGCTTTTCTATTAGACCAATAACTAATCCTATGAATGATGCAAATTCCATCTGTTTCCACTGTGGACCTTCCTCTGAGAGATTGCCAAATATATTCTGGGTGCTCTTAATTGAATTCAGCCCTGTAGCCCTATTATTCTAAGAAATCAAAACCTCGGCCTCATAATTGAGTTTCTGTGCCTGAAATATTAGAGGGCCTCGTGAGATGTGGTTGAAATGCGATAGCTCACAGCGTTCAATACTCTCTCCTCTATATTTAAAGCTCAGTGGATTCTACTCAGTGGCCTTGAGGCTGTTTAAAAGTCGCGTTGTTGATTTTACGTGTGAGTGGCAGTTCACTGATTTAATTAGTGATGATGACTGTTCTATATGATATGTGAGGAGCTGTTAATGGGGCCTGCTGTTGATGAATGTTTTCATAATTTTAAAAGTTGTTGGATGTTCTTTTTGTGTCTAAATGTATTAAATAATAATCTAATGGTGACACCAAAACAGCTGCTGAATACCAGGAAAACATTGCTTTTTAAATGATTTATGCCTTGTAGGGTTTTGTTACGTTCTTATTTCCAAAATCAAGAATATCTAAGATTTTACAGATCACAAATTCAAATGATTTAGACATTCGTGACAAAAAAGTTAGCTCTACACAGTCTAAAAGCCTCTAAAGCCTTTTTGATAACTCTGTGTTGGATAGTCAGTTGAAGTTATTGCGTAAGATTTGTGCAGCAGGCTGGCGTCACGTTTGCAAGCATTGGGGGTGAGAGTAGTGTCTTAGCAGAGCCAAAGCTATTACTGTCCCAGGCGCTGTCAGCCCACAGTCTGTATACATAGATCTCTGGCAGACTCTTAACAGGGTTACTCTTCATCAAAGTTGCATGACGATGCTGAGGGAATTACAAAAGGGGGGAAACACAGAGGGATCTTTAAATAATAGTTGAAGGAGAAAACTGAGCCCTGAGCTGCATTGGCGTCTGCGTGGTGGAGGACCAGTAATTCTCTTTTTCTTCTCTGTATGCTTTTGCTACAGTAAAGTCCATTGTTGTCGTGTTGAAAGCCTTTTTTGTTTGTGGTTTAGTCAGAGTGGCAAGAAAATGTGACGATCTTGCCAAACAAACACAGCATAAATCCATAACTCTGCAGCTTGAAGATGTCTAGTATTTTTGTCTAGTTATAGGATGGCCAACTTGTTCTGTGTTTTGTACCTGCACCAGTGTTCACAGCCGTCAGAGCTACCAGAACAAAACGTTAAAGGAAAGATTAATTGTTTTTCGAATCTACCTGAATGCAGCACTCACTTGTCATATGGATGTTGAGATAGCCAGCATGGGCTCTTTGAACACACATATGGCATTTGAGTCATTGAGAATTGGAAAAGTTCGCCTGCTTCAACTTGTTATGATGCAGAAGCAAGAAGCCAATGAATACTACCATTACAATAAAATGGCTACCATTCCAATGGTTTGATTTTTAATGAACAGATGCTGCCTTCTTGTATGTTGTGTTTGTGAAAAACTTTGTCTGATAATTAACCCTTACAGTCCCAGGCCGAAGACTGACTCTCAACATCTCTTTGTTACAATATCTTCAGATTTAGTTTAGATTAGTTTATTAGGATCCCCGTTAGCAGCATTGCAACAGATATTCTTCCTGGGATCCACAAAAGCATTACATTGTGACAATGCACCATCACATATCATTACCATAATAATATGGATATATTGCATTTTTCTTTTTCAAGATAATTTTGAAAGTTAAGGAATATTTGATGTTTGCAGTCAAGATTTATGATCGATCATATATGTGTGTGTAGAATTTAAGAGCTGTGTGAAATCTGATAAATTGAGGCTACATCAGCCGCTACTGACCGTGGGTGGTCGATTTGCATTGTGGGTACTGTCTATCTCTGGTTCTGCTGCATCGATTTTGATCCATTTTTTATATGGTCCATTGTGAGTCCGACAGCATTATAGGAGTGTAACGCTTAGTCAGTGGAGAGCTTTTAAATCAAGGGTCAACAACTACAATATGAGTGAATCCTTTACAGAAGGACCATGAGCAATGAATAACACAGCGTTGGCACAAACACATTCAGATGCAAACACACGTTCCTTGGATGGCCATAGCAATATGAAGGACGGAGTTAGACATAAACCAATTTGTTCAGTCTCACTTTAATACTGGGAATGATAGGGTAAATAACTCAAATGTATGTAGTTCATTAGGATTATCCTCACTGGAGGTGCAGTGGTTAGCACTGTGGGCTCACAGCTTGAGCGTTCTGGGTTTTAATTCATCAGATGGAGGATTTCTGTGTTCACATGTTCTCCTGTGCCAAAGACGAGGCAGGTTAGGTGAACTGGAAATTGCCTGTCTGAAAGGTTTTCTGTCTGCTGTGTCTGTGTCAGCCCTGTTATAGACTGGTGATCTGGATTAAATGATTATAGAAAATGGATGGAGGGATTGTCTTATAGTAAACCTATTTATATTAATAAAAAGCCTTAAAAACAGGTGAATGCATATTGCTGGCCCAGACTTAACTAGTTCATCCTGGATGTGAATAAGCAGAACTTTCCTGGTTTTTCTTCATATACTTAAGATACATAACTTCAGCCAGCTAACTCTGAATGGGAGCACTGGAGAACTGGAGCACTCTTGGCAGTGAAAGTATACATTGTGGCCAATCCCTCTTTAGTGTCACTGGAAGAAAAAACCTGAGAACAAACTGACTCATTTGACATTGGCTGGTCTCAAGCTGTGTCACTGCCTCCTGTAACCACAGAGATAATAAAACCTGAGTGAGAGGTTGACCTCTTTGCGTGACCCCGTGGTCAGCCCAGGCTCTGTGCAGTCAGTGGGGTGTATAGACTTACCGCCGGGCCTGTCCCCCTTCGCTTTGTTAATGGAGCTGTTGTTGTCTGTGCTTGGGACAAAAGGCAAACGTTAGGAGAAATGGATGCCTACCTTATTGTGAGTAAGAGGAGCGCTTTCACACGCTGAGATGCTCTGGCCTGGGAAACTGTAATTCACACTAATGGAGCAAACGTCCAGGGCACTGCTGCTGCTGCTGCACAGTGGCCTCAGAGAGAGAGAGGGAGAGAAATAGATGTACAGGGGAAGGAGAGGAAAGAAGAGAAAGATGGTGTTGTAATAAATGAGAGATGTAGAATGAGAGGAAAGTCAAGTAGAGGAGAATTAAAGACAGAAATGCAGAATAGAGAAGGTAAAGAGAGGCGAGGTAGGTGGGCAGGAAAGCATAAGGGTGTAAATGACCAATTGATTTAAAGAGGATAAAGAAGAAGAGAGGATGATGGGGAGGACGAAATGAAGTGAGAAGAAGAGGTGTTTTGTTGCAGGTCAAAATAGGTTTGAGTACACAGAGATGGGAGAGTGAGGCAAAGGACAGGTTTTTGTAGCTTTATCAATACAAAATCATTATTGTACCAAAATCTGCTGACGCTGTGCTTAAACCTGCAGTAACTGAGGTTTTGGTCACTTGGTGGCAGCTGAAACAAGTTGTATCACATTATCTACTTTTACGTTGATACGGTGAACAAATTGGCAAGCTGGTGTCTGGATGAATGTAAATCCAACCTTTCAGTCTTCAGTCTTTGAGGTCTGTTTTAGGTCTCTACCAACTTCTAAGGGAAATATCTGGTTCTTTAGCCACTAAATGTTCCACTCTGGTCTCAGATATTCTCTAACTGTGTCCGTGCTTTGGTGCAGGTAGTGAGAGTGTGTTTTTGTAAAAAGAGCTGCCTGCTGTGGAGGTAAATGATGCTATGGGAGCATTGAGAGTGAACCAATACAGTAAAGTAAAGCCGGAGTACTAAGCTTATACTCACTATAATGCTCCGCAAGGCAGCTGAGTGATAATTCTCTGTCATTTCATCACTCAAGAAAACACTTTTACATTGTTTTCACATTGTCATTTGATACATTGTTACTATGGAAATATAAATTATAGCAGCTTTAGGGTATGTTGAACAGATAATTTATGAGATAATTCATATTGTGCATTACACTGCGACTACACTATAACTTTGATGCTGTTTTATTTATTCATTTGTGTTGTCTTAAGGCCATTTTATATCTTATGTGAAGCATTTTGGAAGTGCTAT